GAGAGCAAGAGAGAGAGAAATCACTTACAAACTTTATAATACAGCCGAACGAGTTTAACCCATTTGCGATTTTCGGCTAAGTTTTCTGCTTCATCAGGAAAGAACCCCGTTGTGAAACAGATGTCAAAAGAGAAAAGATGTGAGAGGCTGGTCTCTTTCGTAGATTAGAAGATTAATTAAAACAAAATCACTTAGTCAAATGTCTTACTGGCGAAAACACACACAAGGCATACCACTGCGTGTATGCAATATGAGAGTATGGAATGGATAATCACTTTCGATCAGACTCTGGTGTGAGCTGGATGATGCTGATTCTTGGAGAAACTCACAGAATATGGATCTTATTTCTGCCACACAATGCGATCTGCCAGCCAGCTGTTTTTGCACTGCAATATCATTGCTGAACGTGGTTGAATTACTGGTTGCAAATAAATTATCCAGCATAGCCTTTAATTTTTTCTATTCATAAATCATTTGCAAACCAATCCTGATTTCTGCAAATGTCATCATTCCTCTACCAGATAGTTTGCAGGAACAGCTATCAGCCTGCGGGTAAAATTTTCAAAAGTACTTAGGATCTATCTAAGTCCTCTTTTCCAAAGTTTCATGGGACTTAGGAGCCTAAGTGCCTAACTCACTTTTGAAAATGGGACCTCAATTTCTATCTATCTATCATCTGAGCAGTGATGGATGCACAGTATTCCATGAGAGCCCAGATGGAAAGATGCAGTGATAACAGCTATGTGACAAGGTTACGATGTGCCATGCAGTAGTGCTAATAGGCCTATGAATTTAGCTAGTTATAACCTGGATCATTCAAATCTGCTGTATAATATTTGTTTTAATTGTCGGGTGGCAGAGTGATCCCGATAAATGTCAAGGGTCATGCACTTTAAGAAAATCAGAGTGTTATTTGCATGGGTATTTTTTAACCTACATAGAAGATTAGGGTTGGAAGAGACCTCAGGAGGTCATCTAGTCCAACCCCTTGCTCAAAGAAGGACCAACAAAATCATCCCAGCCAGGGCTCTGTCAATCTGGGCCTTAAAAACCTCAAAGGATGGAGTTTCCACTGCCTCCTTAGGTAACCCATTCCAGTGCTTCACCACCCTCCTAGTGAAATAGTGTTTCCTAATATCCAGCCTAGACCTCCCCCGCTGCAACTTGAGACCATTGCTCCTTGTTCTGTCATCTGCCACCCCTGAGAACAGCCTAGTTCCATCCTCTTTGGAACCCTCCTTCAGGTAGTTGAAGGCTGCTATCAAATCCCCCCTCACTCTTCTCTTCTGCACACAAACACAGGTGCTCAATTTCACATGCAGTTGTGGGTGCATTTGGGGCCTTCTCTTTTAAAAAATGGGGTCAATGTAATCCTCCATGGTTCCTGACTCATTAAATACTCAGTGCTTAGCAGAGAAGTACCAGGGGGTAGCCGTGTTAGTCTGTATCCACATAAACAACAAGGAGTCCGGTGGCACCTTAAAGACTAACAGATTTATTTGGGCATAAGCTTTCGTGGGTAAAAAACCTCACTTCTTCAGATGCACGGAATGAAGTACGTTTCCTTACTCAATAGCCTCCATTCTTCTTTAGAACTTACTGTTCCAGACAGGGCCTCCACTGATGAGAGGCAACAAAATCAAGTGAAGGTCCAAGTCAGCAGATTGTCCAATGAAGGTTCATCAGGGACTGACTGTGGCTTTGCCAGAAGCCCCGAGTGAAGGGCAAGAGACCAGCTGGTGACTCTGGTCCTTGAGTTTCCCCTGGCTCCAGAAGGGAGGTTAGGCACTAGCCCTTTGCCTAGCACTTCCCCCTCCAATCTGTGCTGGATGGTGCCTTGCATGGCAGCACCAAGGCTCCAATCACTCTACACTCAGCACAGGATAGGAAATAGCCTCATGAAAGTTGTTCTCCCCTTTCTGCTGCTCCACACAGCCAACGTGGGGCATTAGAGGCTGCACCCTTAGAAGCATACACCCAGGCTGGTGCTCAAGGGCCTGTCCCTGCTGAACACCTTCAGCTCCCGGTGAAGGAGATGGGACCGGACAGAGTTCAGCAGCTTCCAGGATTGATCCCCCATTCTGCAAACCCTTACTCCTGCGAGTAATCCTCACTCACACGAGCAGTCATAGAATCATAGACTATCAGGGTTGGAAGGGACCTCAGGAGGTCATCTAGTCTAACCCGCTGCTCAAAGCAGGACCAATCCCAACTAAATTATCCCACCCAGGGCTTTGTCCTTCAACTCCCCTGAAAAAGTTTAGCAGGCCCGGGCTCTACCGTGGAACTGGACATCTCCAGAGTCCAGGTTAGGTTTTCTAACAACAATCCACATGGTGACTGTCTACACCCACTGCCTTCTTGGGGGTGGGGGAGGGATATGGGGAAATCTCATGGGCTGAGAATAATAAAAATAAGCATAAGATTACCAATAAACCGATGCAGATGAAATACACTGTTGCAGGGATGTTCACAGAAGTTCAGTAATGGCTTCACCACATGGCACGTAAAGGAGCCATGATCAGAAGAAGAGAGGTAGAGGAATATGGGAGGAAAATAAATTCTCTAAGTTCATAAAGCTGGGGATTTTAAAATGGAAACATTCCTCTTTCTGTTATGCTCTTTCAGGACCATCAAGAATATACTTGTATACAAAGAAAGAGTGAGTAAAAATCCTGTATCATTCATCAGTAAATGCAAGAGGATCACCAGAGCACCCTAATAATTAGGTTACCCAACACCATTCTAGCAACCTCACAAAACAGCTGTTATCTGGCATCCCCAGCCAGTATCAAAAAATTAGTATAAGATTAGTCGGATGTATTGCTGATGCTTTATGGATATTTGCACCAGCTTCAGTACTTTTTATTTTGCTTATCAAGCCATACAACTTTGCTTTGCCAGACACAGTCCCTCTCTGCTAAACATCTGTTGTCTGTGCTGTACAGGACCTCTCAACACATTGAATTTTAACGTCTCCTTGATTAGAAACTGACTGGTGCCAACGCTACTGGATTTGTGCCAGGAAAACAAAACAGGCCTGCATGGAAATAATGCACTGAACTTGCATATGTAGCCACCAGAAGGCTTCCCCTTTAATTGAATTTGGTTCCTATTTTGTTTTTTAAACAATGTGGATCACATTTGCCATGATGCAAACTGAAACAGGATACAGGAACATCCTGTCTGAATCTGCAGGAGAAATTGCATTCAGAGAGTTGGAAAGCAGACAGCGACATTATTTCAATTCAACACTAGGTAAAGGGGCGCAAGTTTTGTATGTAACCATCTATAGTGTATGGTTGTAAAAATGGTTTGCAGAGTCTGACATGGTCAAAAACTGAGAACTCCTTCCTAGATGTTACCGAAAACGAAATGATTTGATGTATACAGTTGTTTTCTCATTCTATACTGTTGTGAGATGCTGACACAGCGAATTAACGCTTTAGATAAGTCAAATGTCAGGCCTGATTCTTGAGTTCACTTTCGCCACTTTTAAACTGGTGTCACTCCTGATCTACACTATCACAAGTGAGATCTAAATCATGGCCTGAGAGTCCACTCCTGAACGCCTTAAGCAGGCAAAACTCCTGAGTTAAGCTTGGGCCTTGGGGTTTCTACATAAGCAACAACACTGCCCAATCAATAATGTGCATTTCAGCTAATAAATGTAACTCCCCCATCCCACAAGACATTTGAGGGCAATAGTTATAAGTCATTTACATGTCTGAAAATAAGTATACAGAAGCTCCCAGCCACCGTAGTGTCTTCTAAAGTGCCAATCTTTGTTTTTTCCTTCTATTAGCAGTGAATAGGCTTAAATCTGGTCAAAATTACTGGAACCAAAAAAAAAAAGATGGAGGTGATTTTTCAGCCTTTAAGTTGGTTTCTACTTGTAAAAAGACCCGGGGCCAATAAAAATCTTTGGCCAAAATTCCAGTGATTCTTTTCAATATAACATTTCTGCTCAATCCATCTATCTCATTCAAAGCTTGAAAACCATTGTCAATTTCAAATTTCCTATAGACCAGTTCATCCTACAGCAACCCTGGGACCAAGAGTTGAGGGTGGATCTTTTCCCAGCACTCCCCTCTGTGTTGTGCTTTTTATTACAGGGATCTACTGTGAGGATCAATTCCGTTTTGGTGGGTTCATGACAAATATGCTGTGACGTTACCAAACTGGTTATATTTCAATTAAAACACCAAACCTCTTCCAAAGCCATTCTCTGGACTGTGGGTCACAGTCTGCTGTCAGTTACACCATTGAAACCCAAAATGTTTCCATAGATGTCGCTGGAGTTATTCTAGATTTGCACCAGAACAGAATCTGGCCCTCAATTTTTTAATATTACCCCAAAAATATTCTACCATGGGGTGATTAAATGGCATGGTCATTTGAACTCCCTGGGCCAAATTCTCTCCTGCGCCACTCACTGAAATTAACAGAACTATGCCAGCATTGAATTTTCCCTCCTATAACGTTACTGTGAGAAAACCATTCAGTTGCCCTAAGACTGTGTTTCTAAAGTTCCCAAAGCAAACATGCATTGTAACTTTAAATATAGACTGACAGTTTTTGGCTTGCATCTCATATTACATACAGACAGCTTGGTGTCTCTAAACACAAGCTAGGCAGCACCAATATCTCAGAAGAGAGACACTAAGCCTTCTGAATGCTCTATATTTTCATTCCTTACGGGAAAAGCATTTACTTTATATTTTCTCTAAACTTGCACTTAGAATGAAATGTAACAAATTTTCATATGCTATATTCAGGAATTAAACTTTGCAGAGGTCTGTTTCGATTTTCTCTGTAACTTTCAAACAGACAGACAGACAGACACACACACAGAGAGTGTTTCATCCATATCTCTTTCCTTTAAGGAGACCCCAGGCAATTTGTTGCAGAACTTGAACTGTGTTTAAAAATCATCTGGTTAAACAACAGACTTGTAAATTCACTGTTACTGCAGGGAGGGGAAAAAATAGGGTACTCACATGGTGATGGTGTCACATTGTTTTGGTCACTCATAATTTATGCCTTCAGAAATGCCTTATTTGTGCTGACTGTTTTTTCCCCCTGTTCAGAATCGCCGGCTGGATTAAACAGAGCAGCTAGAAAGGCAGGGAAGAGACCAAGGACCCAGGAGAATGCAACACTTGTTCAGACACTCCTTGCCGAGTTCCTGACCCCTTTGCAACTGGAAAAGGAAACAGCACATGTGTCATTCTCTTTTGCCTTTCCAGCTCACATGAGCGGGGAGGGGCCCCCACTTTCAGATAGCAGTAACTGTTTTCAAGTTTGACGTATCCCAGCCCCTCTGCCTTCCAGGAACTTTGAATCTTCAGCAACAAGTAGAAAGAAAATGCTTTTAAAAGTGCTTGGTTTCAATCACAATCCAGCCTAGCGTTCCGGGCCAGTTACCAGCCCCATGGATATTAACCCAATGGTGGATAAGTCACTGCCAAAAAAGTGGAGGAATGCAGGGATGATTTCACAATGGGGTTTTCAAGTTCCATTCTGGCGTGCAAGCCTCTGCCCTGATATTCTAATTGTCCCTCTCATTTAACTGGTATAAATCAGGAATATATCCACTGAAATCGGTGTAGTTACACCAGTGTAAATAAGAGGCAGGATCAAGCCAGTGATTAAGACACTCGGCTTGGTATTCAGGAGAGTGGGGTTTAATTCCTGCTTCGGCCACACATTTCCTGTGTGACCTTGGACAAGTATCTTAGTCTCTCCCTGCCTCAGTTTCCCATCTGTAAAATGGGGGTGATAGTACTTCTTACCACCTATACCTTTTCTTTCTTGTCTATTTAGATTATTAACTCTTCAGGCAGTGTTTTTTTACTGTCCGTACAGCACCTAACACAATGTCTTATCTGGGTTAAGGCCTCCAGGTACAAGGAATTCTTAATTAATTATTATTATTAATAATAATAGTTCATTAGAATCAGACCCAAGTGGTTTTGTCAAGAACTGATCAATCCTCAGTTCTCATGGACCGTGTGGGTCAGTATGAATTCACAGCATGCCTTCGATGTCAACAACATAGTAACGGTTTGACTCAAAGTCGGGGGCAGGAAAATCAGAATCAAGACTGAAACGCCCCCTGTTATGCACAGGTGTTGCAGCTTGTTTCTGTTAAGCCAGCAAAGTGCCTTGCTGCTAAATGCACTGCTATGTACTTGGCTCACAATATTTATTCTATAACAGTGGAGTGGGACGTACATGACAAATCTAAATAACCCAGCCTTGTTTGCGTGCACCGATACGGTAAACAACTCATATCAGCAGCATTTGCAACGGACTCTCACAGTGTTTAGAGAACCCTCGAATACTCCCTGGCATGCAGAGCACAGCAAGGCGAGGGCCAAAGGGACAAAAAATCCTGATGTGACTCCACTAGCTTCCATAGAGGTACATCAGTTTATACCAGATTAAGGTCTGATATAGTGTGGACGGACACCTGTGAATGAACGGAAAATACTGACTAGAATTCTGTTTGCCATTGTGTTCTGCTTCCCCATTCTACACCTCAAACACGCGGCATGCACAGAGCATTCTGGATCTACACAGAGGGAAGGAAGGAGGCTGAGGTGCTGACAGGCAGGGGTGTGTCTACACTAAGGCTATGCGGTAGCATCATAGTGTAGATGCGTCCTACGTCAGTGAAAGGGGTTATTCTGCCAGGGTTGCTAATCTGCTTCTCTGAGAAATTCTTCCATCCCCCTGCCTACACAGGGTGGTGAGTCAACCTACCTATTGCACACAGGGCGCAAACGTTTTCACAGCCGTCAGCAACGTAGCTAGAGCAATCTGATTTTAACCGTAGATCTGGGCTTAGCTTCAGATCCTACCTCAGTTCCCATCCTGAGTAATATGTCTGGACATGGGGGAACTCTGTTGTGAGGAAGGAATCTGACCTGCCAGGCCACAGCTAAGCCAAAGGAATGGAAGATCCCGATATCTATCTAATTTTAGGCACTTACCGTTAATCATGTTTATTACAGTAGTGCCCCAGGGCCAAACAAGAGCAGGACCCCATTGTACCAGGCACTGTACAAATAGAGTAGTGGACGGTCCCTGCCCTGAAGGAGTGATATGGTCCCCATTACTGTAGTATCTCACAATGTTCTTCACCATGTTTGCTCTAGTTATCCTCATAACACCCCCGTGAGGAAGGGACCTGCTATTATCATCATTAATTTTATAGATGAAGAACCGAGGCAAGACTAAGTCCTAGATCCTCAATGTATTCAGTCTCTGAACTACCTCTGAAATCCCTGGGAGTCAGGTACCTTTGGAGGCTCTGAGCATAAGTGACTTCCCAAGGGGGCACACAGGAAGTCAGGAGCAGAACAATGAATGCAATCCAGATCCTCTAAGGCAACAGAGGCCACCGTAACCACTAGACCAGCCTTCCTTTCTAGTGGATTTTCTAGCCCCACTTCCTGCTTGTCTGCTGTGCTGGGATCCCCTGTAAGGGTGCGGGGCCCACTTTGCAAGGCCCCTGGTGCCCTGTTCTCAACCGCCATGGAGCAGAACCTAAGCGATTCTGCTGGATGATGGACCTTTTCCATCCACCAGTATGGGAAGGGTCTGAGCTTTAAAGTGGAGAGAGCCCACCCAGTTCCATAGCACTTCCCGAAGAGTCTGGGAGAAGAATACTGAACATAGAAAGGCATAGTGTTCTCTCTCCCTCTGACCCCAGAGCCAACGGCCTGGAGGGGAGCAGAGGCAGCGGGGAAATAAGAAGCATGGAGGGTAGCGGGGTGAATCAAACCATATGATTGGCCATTAATGTCTCCCGTGTCTGAACCCCCCTCTCACCCTTACATCCAGTGGCTGCTGTAGGCAGTGAAAACTATATGGAAGAGGGCAACTAAAGAGTAGTTTAAAGCCTTTTTTGGTCAAAGGTTACAGTATTTGTCCAGAAGCATCCAATCTATCCGATAGCAAAGGGATGTTGAGAAGCCTGCATGACGGCCTGTCATTGGCCGATACCTCAGCCGCCTTGGCCCACAGTGTCTCCATTAACCCAGAGAGGAAAGGGCAATTTAACTGATTTTTTTTTTTTTTGCCTCGGTGGAGACATTTGTTCATCTGTCCATCTCTGAAGCCTTCAGATCCTTCCTGAAAATATGGAAACAAAATTCCCTGTTTGCCTGTGTAGCGCTTTTATCCCAAAGGATCAGAGAGCACTTTACAAACTATGTGCCACTCTATTGTAGAGGGGTCACACTGGTATGGCAGTGGCGAAACACACACACACATCTTTGACCATCTCACCTGCACTCTGCCCACTAATCTATCTCCATCGGAACTACTCCTAATAGTCCATACCACCAAGCAGTTTCATTTGGCCTACATTGTTTTAAATTCAGTCTCCTGTATACCATTGGGAAAGAGAGACCACAACTGTTCCTATTTTCCAGGGAGCTTAAATGACTTGCCTAAGGTCACGCAGGAAATTTGTGGCAGAGCAGAGAATTGAAAATAGATCCAAGCTAGCACTCTAACCACTGCACCATCCTTCCTGTGTTTCATTCACCTAACTTAAGCCCCCAAATAGCCAAAGCATGCTGAGGACTCTGGAACATGTCTGGAGACGGGCACTTTGCAGAATTCAGGAGTAAGTTGAGGACTACATTTTTATCAAGAATATTTCCCGCACAAATGAGCTGTTAAATCAGAGGCCGAGTTTTTCAAAACGGTGCTCATGGAAGACAGTGAACATCTCACTAAGTCCATTTTATGTGGCTGTGCAGCTTACCGGGGCCTTAAAATGGGAGCAAATGGTCCCCTAAGAATAGCCGCCACACGGAGGGCCATCCTGGCTGGTGCAGAGAGGCAGTAAGGGCTGCAAATGGCCATGCTCCCAGCCCTCTGGTATAGGGTGCAGCTTAGGGGTGGGGTGGGGAGATTGCCAGAGTCCACTGGACTATGAACCTCTCTTCTTCTCAGGGCCCAGAGGAGGCCATGGGAAGCACCGCATCAGCTAGAGCAGCCTTGAGGCTGTTCTAATTTACCCCAGTGGCCAAACAGGCCCTTGCAGGGCAGCAGCTCAAAGCCACTTTTGCTTCCCACCCCCCCGCTCCGGCCCCTCCTCCCTGTCCCAAGTGCAGCAAAAGAGTAACCTGAGAATCAGGCTATCACAGGCCAGCTGGGGATCAGGGCTCAGCCTTGCCTGGGGCATAGCAGTTATCCGCCGGCTGATCCTGAGTGGGTGGCTCAATTACATTAGTGATCCTAGCTGTGAAAGGGTCAGGGTGGCCAGGGGAGTTCCCTCTCTCTGGGAAGGACTTGCAGAAGGTCGGCAGGCAGGCTGGGGAGAACCACATGGGGCAGGATAGGCC